GAAAAGATTTATCGCAATTAATCGTTGCCCAGCCCTAAAAATAATTATTAGACTGCAATAAAAATGTGGATATAACTTTTTATATTAAAATAATAATAACAATGCCATGTTTTTAGCATATACACTTTATTGTAGTCTTAATAATTATGTTCGTATTATTATAAATATTTATTTATATCTATAATAATACATGTATTGTTGTTGTTATTTAAATCATAATTAGCCTTTAAAAGTTCTTGCTATTTCTAAAAAAAATTTAACTTTTTAAAAAATGTACTAATTAAAAAATATATACTTTTGTAAAATTCTATAATTATCTGTGTCTCTTCCTGATTATTATATCACACAATCCTGAGCGCACAAAATGAAGTTTTGTTAATAACTAAGTTCGGGAGGAGCACGTTCAGATAATTAACACGAGTGGACGGCAATCAGCAATCAGCAACCAATGATAAGAGGGTATATATAGACTCAGCAGTCTTACCTCGATCCATTGGCAGTTTGCAGCATCCCTCCTCCACCCCTTCTCCACACTTCTAGTCCTGCACACTCCTCTTTCTAAAAAATCACTTGCATACGGGGGGAGTACTCTGGGTTCGGGCAGAATTCCGAGCACGGAGCCCTCCCTCCGGACAGCACGCCAAATACGCATTGAATCTTACTCACTCAAAATTATATGTAAGTGTGAACTCGTGAATTGTTGGTTAGTTGAAAGAACATTGTGTCGGATGGAGCATTTGAAGGGGAAACTTGTTCATAAACTTGCACTTTTATCGTCCTCATTTTTGTTTTAATGAGAAATAAGGTCATCATTAAATATTTATATGGTTATTATTACTAAAGCCTACATTCATACAAAAGCATTGGCTGTGTAGCAAATTCTTAGGTTTCTGACACTGCCCATGTACTGTTTATCTGCAGTCCTGAAAAGACTTCTATCCTGCTATCAGATGCTGACATTTGATATCTGTTCTGCAGGTCTTGCGGAATCGCGTTCAGGCGTTGCGGGGTTATGGGATTTCCGTTAAGCAGCGGGTCCGAGGTGTGGTTCAGGAAAACCTGGTTTATCAGGGCCACCCTACAAGTACTAAAACCCCCATACGGACAAACACACAGAACATGGAGTGTGTTGTACTTAACAACTCTCTGCTCAGACCCAGGTAGAACACACACGTAACAGACTCAAAACTCTATAAATGTAGTCTATACAATATATATCATAATATATAGTGATGCTCCAAAAATGATTGAACAAACAAAGAAACCGAAAGTAATTTTGCTGAAAGCTGAAACTGAAAATAAAGTTTATTTCATAATGAGTTAATTAATAAAAATTTTTGATAATCACCTTCAAATAAAAACGTGTGTAATATATATCCACAAGCTGTAACTAGTAATAAAGATTGGTTCAATACACCCAATTCAGTTAGTTCACCCAAAAATGAAAATTCTGTTCAATTCATCAATTACTGTATTCACCCTCATGTCATTCCAAACTCGTAATACTTTCATTCATCTTCGGAACACAAATGAAGTTATTTTTTTTTATTTTTTTTGTAATTCAACTTTTTTTATTGTTCAACAGTCAAAACATCATAGTACATCACATTATTCAGTAATCACCTTTACAATTACACATTCCGCCACTAGTCCCCATCAGTGGCATACAACCAAAACAAAACCACACGAAAATTAAACAGTTATTGAGCAGTCCCATTTACACCATTTTTATATGCTGCCAAAAATGGTCCCACGTTTTTTTAATTTCTCCCTCATTATGCAGTCTCCCCAACATGCTCTCATATGAAGCAATTTCAATCATCCCATCAACCCAGTCTTTAAGGTCTGGGGTTTGGGGGCATTTCCAATTTAAATGAAGTTATTTTTAATAAAATTAGAGATTCTGTCCCTTCATTGACAGCTACACAACTACAACTTTGGCACTTACTAATCCATATTAAATGAGCGGTTTAGTCCAAATTTGAATTTAGGCTTTTATTCACATATAAACATTCATCAACACACACATTATTTATAATAAACGGAAGCTCAAGCATGTTTGCCTGACATGCGAAAAACCAAAGAGGTTCATTCTCGTGAGTTACGCAGCACATTTGAGCTTCCGCAGGAACCAATGAGGTTTGTTCTTGTGCGTCAAGCATTTTCAGTTGAGCTTCTGTTTATGTTCGCTGATCAATGTTTATATGTGAATAATGCCTGAATTTAGTCTGTTCATCATTTAAAGAGATCAGGTCAAGAGATCATTTCCGTCAATGATTTCGGCCCTCTGTCTGAGCCAAAGCCAAAAGGGAATTAAATGGTTGCTTAAAATTCAGTGAATCTCTAATAATATGTTGAATACTATATTTGACCTCTACTATTCTTTCTGTTGCAGATCGCAAGCCCTTTGGGCTTTGGAAAATCCACCTCCTCGTCCCCATAATACTAACCCCTCTGTCACCCCTGCCACACTCCCTGCTCACCTTGCCACCACCATGACAAACAGAATCACTGCCTCTGTAGAAAGCGGTTGCCATAACAACGGCAGCATCTTTTGCTCAATTTTATGAGGTACATAATTCCCGGCTTTACAGTTTAACGATGGATCAGATGGAAATTCATAAACATTTTCCCCTCAACTTGAAGGCATTGCTTCAACATTCTGGATTGGATGATGGACCAACTGGATTAAGCCTCAACCACTTTTTGACATCCAAAGCACTTTTTAACATGATTAACCAATGTTATCTTGTTTAGTAGTCGAGGAATCAAACTATGATGGATTAAAGGTTCACCCAAAAATTTTAAATTCTGTCATACTCACCCAAATGTCATTGCAAACCCATAAGACTTTCGTTCATCTTCGTCTATGTTTTTGATAAAATCTGAGAGCTTTATGTCCCTCCATTGACAGTCTACACAACCACCCCTTTTCAAGCCCCAGAAAGGTAGTAATGGCATCATTAAAGTAATCCATGTGACTCCAGTGGTTTAACCTCAATTTTATGCATATGAAACTTTATTTACAAATTATAAATCTCCAACAGACGTTCACAAAAGCACCACAATGTATGCGTGATGTTGAGAGCAGACATTGTTACGTGGCCACGTGTTGGAGATTAATTAAACCACTGGAGTCACATGGATTACTATGCCTTTACTACCTTTCTAGGCCTTGAAAGTGGTAGTTGTGTAGGCTGTCAATGAATGGAAAGAAAGCTCTCAGATTTCATTAAAAAGATCTTCATTTGTGTTCCGAAGATCAACGGACGTCATGTGTTTGGAAGGACATGAGGGTGAGTTTAACAGAATTTAAATTTTTTGGCAAACTATCACTGTTTTTCACTCTCGAAATGGAAGTGAAGCTGGTCTGAGATCAGTGTTCATGAGCAACTTACTGGAACATTTACTGGAGTTTTGTTTCTTAAAGCTACACTGTGTGATTTTTACCCCCATCTAGCGGTGAAAAGGTATATGACCATCCAGTGAATATTAGTTTCTGTTCCTCTCAATTCCGATTTCGTTTTAACTCCTACGGTGGCCAATGTAGTCCAAGATTAACATGGCTTCCAGTTCGACCTCGTCCATGAGTGTTAACTCAAACGTAAACGCGAAAGGCGAAGCTTGAATTAACGGGTATGTCCCTCTTTGGCTAATGTAGATTCAAGATGGAGGGGCAACATGGCGACCGACATTAGAACCCCTTACCCGTATGTATTTTCAATTGCATATTATACACTCACAAGATTACTTTATTACTTGAACGAACTAAATATACATTAATGAGCACATATATTTTTGAAAGAACTAAGTGTTTTTAGCTAAGAATAAACTAAAATAGTTACACAGTGTAGCTTTAATACTGTTTGGCTAGCAAACCAGCTGAAACCTGCCGCCCCATCCAATACAGAATACATTTGTGCCGGAAAGGGTTTTTTTTTTTTTCCAGAAACAACACTAAGACCTGTTGGAAGCAAATCAAGAAAGCATTTTTTTGTTTGTTCGTTTAAAAAGAAGTCCTACATGATTCAGTAAAGCACATGAATTTCATTGTCCAGTGAACCTACAGGCTGTGGTTATTATTTCAGCCATTCACACAAAGTCAAAAGGGAGAAAGAGACATGTCATGTGACTTTCCCTCTCTCTTCCCAAAAGACCTGAACCAGTGCTGAAGATAGAAGATAAACAATTTCAGTGCACCTTGGGAATTGTAGTCCTGCTGGCTTCTGCTGAGATTCTTTAAAGGACAAAAACAAATATGCACACACTGAGTACTGCTGCCAAACAAGTGGCAAACTGGCAATATTTAACTCTCTTATTGAAACCCTCTAGTTTTATGCACCTGTGCACATTACTGAAGGGGTTTAGTTCTCGAATGACCTGGCAACCCTTGGAGAATTTGTAAGAACTTATCAGAAGACAATTTAAAGATCTTGAATGTGATTTCACAGACACTGAATCAATATGTCTCTCAATGAATCATTTATTTTGAAATGACTAGCAATGAAGAATTTTACTAAATATTGGGATATGCAAAAACTGCTATGATAGCCGTTTTGCTATTTTGAAGACTGTAAACAAGATTATCATATGTCGGTCAAGCTAAATTGTAAAATCATATGAAAACCCCTTTGAGACGTTGTGATGTCAGAAACCTTAATAAGAGAATAAAAAGAGACTAATTGTAATTTAAAGGGACAGTCCACCCAGAAATGAAAACTAACATGAAAGATATTTTGAATGCTGGTGAAAAAAACAGTTTTGTTCCCAGTGATCCCCATACAATAGACAAAAAAAAAAAAATACTATGGAAGTCAATAGAAACCAAGACTGTTTAATTACCAACATTATTATTTTTTAATTCTTCTGTAGCTGAATTTCATACTCAATTTCATACTCATGTTGTTCCAAACCTGTGAGCAAATGATGACAAAATTTTCATTTTTGAATGGATTATCTACCAAAGGGTTTTGAAACAAGGTTGTTTTTTTAAGAGACCATGTCTGTGTTCGGAATGGAATCCAAACTTACTATATATTAAGCTGTTAACCTCAAAAAATTAGAATATTATGCAAAAGTTAATGTATTTCAGTAATTCAAATTAAAAGGTGAAACTAATATATTTGGTATATATAACTATATACATATGCATGATTATACTTTTCAAAGGGCTGACATTTCTGTATTTAAAATCCGTTTTTTAATTGATTTCTTGTCATATTAAAATTTTCTGAATTTTGAGGTTTTCAAGCTGTACAACAATCATCAAATTCGTAACTTTTGCACGATATTCTAATTTTTTGAGTTTCACCTGTACTGTACATAAAACAGTAGATTTTATTCTGAATCCAATTAAACATCACATGACCTCATAGCTTGTGAAAAAAAGCCTTAAGCTTTGGCAGTCTGATCAAATGACAGTGTTTTAACAGTAATTTCTGTTTATTCATTATACTGGAAATGAAAGTTTACTACATGGCCTTTGCATTGCTTGTGAAACGTGGTAGATGGTTAGGTATTCTGAATCTTTGCCCACTGTGTACAGTATGCTATACAGGAAGAGTATGGAAGAATGCCATTTCGAACATAGCTCATAATTTTAAAAAAAGGATTTTGTGATGGGATTTTCTTCCGAAAACACTAGACCTTATTTATCGAAAGGTAGCCATCTTATGTTAGATTTACAGCAGGCTGTTATTATTTTAGTAATGTTTTCATACCAACTGCTGGTTTGATTTGTAAAGTGCAATATGTATCTACTAAAATGTGCCTATTTTTACAGTATGGTTTTTATACTTATTGTGCAGTATAAATATAATCACTATCATTGAAAACTGACTGTTGTCTGTAGTTTTTGTCTTTAGGTGCATACTGCATAGATATTGATTTGATTTCAAAAACCCCAAGACATTTTCCACAGGAAAAGCAATCCTTGTGCTCACAAGCTAGACATTAACAGTCAATCAATACAGGTGTGATTACATTCATCTCAAGTATACACAAATTAAACTCAATATGGACCGATTTTGCATCAGGTTGTTGTAAAACTATGGATAATAACATGGGTAATTCCCATTGCCATTTACAGAATAGTCTTTTATTTTCCAATTCAATCTTCCAACACTGCTAAATTGAGCACATTTGTGAAACTTCTAAATGAAATGCAGTTATAGCCAGTTCCTACACAGCTTAGAAACACACTCATGTCCATGGCTCAGTTCATCCTCTTGCGTTTCTTGCGTTCCACCCGTCGATCATAACGCACCAGAGGAAGCACCAGAGAGGCCATCCTGTGCTCATCCTGCATCCCTTCTCTATTGGAGACAGCCTGACGGGACAGGGTCAGTCCCATGGCCTTGGCCAACTCCAACATTCTGCAAAAAAACATTTGAAACCATGTCAGAATAAATATTATAGTGGTTTTAGCTTAAATAAGATTTCTTAAGACTGAATACCTGAAACTGAAATTAAATAATTTTATGATGTATTAAGGCAACCCTGGAAGTTGAGCCCTGGACCTCTGGTTGAGAACCAATGTCTTAGACCATCACAAGAAAGAAAAAACTAATTGTGCATATCTAGTTTGAACCTAGATAAGGCCTCTAAATTGTCAACATGATCATGCAGAGCCCCTAAAGGAAATATGATGGAATAAATATATATATATATATATTTAAGTTTTGCTCGCAAAACTTTTGCATTCCCCAAGAAACTTTGCATTCACTTGCAAAACTTTTGTTCTTTGCAAGCGAGCGCAACCATTTTGCAAGCAAATACAAAGTTTCTCGGGGGAATGCTAAACATTCGCTAGAGAAGGTATTGACAAATAATTGTCAATTTTTTTTTAATCATACGTAGGGCCCAAGCCCAAAGTGCAAAATATTTTTTTAAACATATAGGTTTGAGCTGCTGGATTATTCTCCTACAATATATCATACTATATGAGCAATAAAAGCTAGTATCAAACATGATACTCAAATTAAAAAAAGAACATGTAAACTTTTTTCTTAAGATTCAATAAACTATTCCACTTAAAAAATCTGAGAATGACTTCATATGTCAGGCTTTACGGCGTTAATGTGTAGAATAATACGTTTGACTTACTTGTTATCGCTGATGTCCATGTCTCTGTGTAAGAGAGTGAGGTTAGCCGTCTGATCACCCATGTGCAACAGTAAAGCCAAACAGTGAGAAACCAGTTTCAAACGCATGGACGTCGACACTGTGTTCCTGAGTCTGTAGAGAGAAACATAACTTAATGGCCATTGTCTGAAATTTCATATGTTTTGATAAAAAAATAAAGGCAAAAATTTAAGTCAGAACAGGCTGCAGGACTGTGCCTAGTTAGGATACACACACACCGGCCGTCGTGGAAACTCTCCACTGTGAAATTCTTCATCACTTTGTTGATGAGGATTTTGGGACATCCATTCTCAGTACCAACTAGCAAAAGAGAGTGAAAATTATAAGGTTATTTAAAATACATTATTACCATATCATCTACTGGCTGACAAACTAAAGAATTAAACTGTTTCTTTAACACTCACATTTGAAGGATACACTACGTTTCTGTTGTGAGACTTTGATGAGGAAGGACAGGTACCAGGCACAACGTGACTGTCTGTCACGAGCTGCGTCCTCAGTGGGAAGTGATTCAAGATGTGCAAGAACAGTCTGAGGACTAAAGAACACATTTTTATGAATAAAAACAAGCATTTCTATAATTAATCTGGAGCTAAAACATAGCCAAAACCAACAACTTTTCCAGTTAAATTATTTTTAAAACTTGTGCCGTGCTGGAATTACACTTTTATTCTCTGATATTTCCAGATTATAAAAAAAAAATCAGTTTGGGGTCAGTCATTTCTTTGAAGAAATTAATACTTTTATCCAGCAAAGATACATTAAATTGATCAAAAGTGGCAGTTTTTTCTGGATTTAAACATTATTGGAAACATTTGGGACAGTGAAGATACTCAAGTCAACAAAATGTATAACATTGTTCTAATGGTTTTTGCATGTTTTAGTGCAAAATCTTACATATTGTGCCTTTAAAATAGTAATAATTTTAATGTTTTACAATTCTACTATTTTACATTATAAGAGAATTAATTGGTATGTGTGTGTTATCAAAAAAAAATTGGACAACAACAGTATGACGGTCTCCATACCCAAGCTCATCTCTCATCTTCTGCAGGTCTTCAGGGGTCAGCGCTGCCATCTTCATTCCAACTTCCTTCAGCGCATCAAACTCAATTGGAGACAACACTAAAACAAAGCTAAGGATCCTGACACAGAAAAAAATAACGAGGAGAAACATATATAGAACTAAAAAGGATACATTGGTCGAAGGGGTATACATCTTCTGGTTTTTCTGCTGCAGTGTTGCACAGGGGGAGGAAGAGTGGGGTCTCTGTCTTTGCCTCACTTTCATTCACTTCATTACGCAGAGCTTAGAGACAGAATTGAAGAGCCATTGCTGTTGACCCTTTTCAATGCACAGTTTAGTCATTAATTGTGAAAACACATACTGCCACTTACCGTCCATCCCTTTCCGATCTATGACGTTGCTGGCAGCCAGTGCCACAGCCTGCTGAAGCATTTCGTTGCCCACCTCGTTCAGTCTCCTGGAGCTCAGAGCACGCTTCTGTTTAGTCGTCCCGAATGCTTCAATGAGAGCATCCACCTGTGCCCAGACAGAGAAAACACACATGTGATTAATGACTTCTTCGATGATGGACATGTTTTTCATTTTTGAATTGAAGCACTACATTTTTATATTTTTGGAGGGCTCAAAGAGAAGCGCCTAAGGGCGATTCGACTGTCCTCATTTCATAATAAAGTAAAAAGTTGAAAAGCAAAAAGATTAAATTTTTCTAAAGAAAGCTATAAACATTGGCAGTTTGGAATATTATTTAGTAATTTAATTTCTTAGACAAATAAAAACCTGCAGTTAAAAACTTTTGTTTCAAAGTCATGTGGACTAACTATTGGCAGGTTAGGGAAAAAACAGGAAATTATATCATAGATTTAGTGTAATGGCAAACAAGCCTCTTCATGCAAAGTCAGCATGAAATTAAAATTATCAATTCTTTTTATTTAATTGCAGCGATCACTATAAATTATTTATCTGTGAATATATATGTTTTTGTTTTTTTTAAATGAATGTGTCCTTGTAATTTTTTATCAACATTAAAGCATGCTTTAAAGCTGATGACATGAACAATGGCACGAGGGTGGGACAACAACGATCCATTTCCCTCGGATGTGTCACAAGAGAGAAGACAATGATAATAGAAACTTCTGTCTAATGCCAACCAAATTTTTCAAATAATTTTATGATAAGGCAAGGTTAGTTGTTTTTAGTCCCCAAAAACATAACATTTATAAATATTCAAATCAGTAAAAGTGCTTTTGACTTCATGGTGTAAACATTTTACAAAACCAAATGATATATAAAAAAATACATTTCTACGAAAGGCAAATATTCAGTTACTCGCCTTCTGTCTGTATGTCTCAGGATGCTTTGTGTTGTCATCTCCTGTGGATTCACCTGAAGACACACTCAACCATGAACTTCTCTTTCACTGACATCCTGTCTAACAAAAGACACATGGCTCCTATCTCTATAGTAGACAACAACATTACTGTTGAACATTTAAGAATTACAAAGGAGCCATGAGAATAAAATACTTTTTTTTACAAACTACATTGAGCAATAAATGACTTTTCAAATCATTAAAGATTTAAATTGACAGAAATCACACTCTGAGGGAGCAATCTTAAACTGATAAGATATTTCAGTATGGAGTTAAATGTATTTTCAGATTATTCACTAAAAATCACAACTATTATACAATAATAATGTTATAACTTATACTGTATTATCAATAGACTTTATTACAATTAATGACTTTGAAGCTTGAAAACCACTATTTTAATCAATTTCCCATGACCAAAAAAAAATGTCATGCCACTGTTATGATACATTACAAATGTACCATATTTACCTGGTATAAGAGGCAACATATTGAACAGCTGAGCATTGTGAACCTTCATTTGCATAGTGCTCTTGTCCAGAACTCCCACAAAATACCTGTTAACGACCATTACAATCCCATTATTCAGAGATCCCATAATCATTCAACTAATCAGTTTTTATACAGATCACCTCACCTGCACAGATTATTAGATTGCGACGACCCAGGCCCAAAGTTACTCCCAACATAGGGGAGTCTGTCTGATTCTGCAACCTAACATGGGAAGAAAATATTCCTTAACACCACATCCGCCAGATTTTCAAGACCTAAAATAAAAATGATTTCAATCTAAATATATAGGTAATGTTAGTTTTACCACAATCCGTCTGTTTTTCTTTCTGGGATTGACTCTATCTTTATGTTTGAAGAGCTTGAAGTCCAGATGTTTTGCTTTTCTCACGAGGCCATTAGAAAATTTAACTGCAATGACAAGGCTGTGACTTAAAAATATGAAAACGACTTAACAACAAACATCTAGCAATGATTTATGACCATTTTAGCCAACAAACTATTCAACTGAGTACGTTAATTGTACATTGTTGGATTTGGACATGAGCATGGTGCGTTTCCACGTGGGTTCCTTCAACTAAAAGATTAAGTGTATTTTTAATAAACCAGAGTCAAAAAAATAACGCCAACAATATATTTTAGTACATCTATGATTTTTCCGATATTAAAAAAGTTACCAATATACGCATCCTTTCCAGTTTCTTCACGTGATTTCCATGTACAGGTCTCCGCCATTTTTAAAGTTTCTTCGGCTGAAATTCACACGCGTATCTGCACCAACAGCGACATCCAGCGGTTAAGAAAACGCCATCATCCGTTTTCTTAAAGTCCCCATGAAATCAAACTGGTAGTTTTGTGCATGGTTTTGTGGCTTTTGGTCTCAATATGTTAGCCTTACTGTTATCTATAAGCTAGTGTGATCCAAAACAATAAAAAAAAAAAATTGCATTTAGAAGATATTAGCATTTAAAATTGTCGGTTGTTATGTCAAATGAACATGTCAGAGGGAAACGTACAGCTCGTCGCCTATCCTCCCATGCAGTTACACATGCAGTGTTTTGACTGAACCACTTCTACTTCTGCTGCAAGAAATGAGAGCACATTTTTTATAATTTTCTGGGCCGTGAAAGAGTCTGCGTTTGTGATATGTCCTTCATCCCTTCCTGCTAAACACTTGCTCTGTTTGAAAGTGTTTCAATTTGGACTAAGGATGCATTCTGTCACATTTCACTCATGTGCACTTCAATAAGCCGACCATGCAGTTTAATTCATTTACATCCAAGGCAAAAAAACTACCTGTGTCGACTGGTTTATATAAAGCCGTTTATGACCTTACTCCGATAAATACAGAAAGCGGGTTTCCCCGTTTACATGACCAGGTGTGTTGTTGGCTTATTAAGCATAATCGGATGTTTTTAGATAAACACTGACAAAAAACTGTACTGTTTTAGGCCTGGACGAAGATTGATATGAGTGATCACCTGGATTTAGACCTTTAGATCACCCAAAAATGAAAATGATGTCATTAATGACTCTTGTGTCGCTCCAAGCTCGTAAGACCTCCGTTCATCTTCGGAACACAGTTTAAGATATTTTAGATTTATTCAGAGAGCTTTCTGTCCCTCCATATTGAAAATGTATGTGTGATATAGGCTACTGTCCTTGTCCAAAAAGGATATAAAGACATAATCAAAGTAGTCAATGTGACACCAGTGGGTTAGTTAGAATGTTTTTAAGCATCGAAAATACATTTTGGTCCAAAATAACTCAAATTAAAAAAAAAATCAGCATTGTATTCTCTTCCGGTTCTGTTGTCAATCAATCCGCCTTCAGTAATGCTGAAGACAAGACGCACGCCGCTGACGTGACGTTGAACCACAGAAGCGTGCACTCAACTCCAGACCAGAGACACAATAACACAGAGCCGATTATATGCCAGAAAATGTAACAGAACCATTTGAATTCTGCACAGAATGGCATATTTTAAAGCAATGTGGAAGAGATTCTGAGGAGAAACGGTTAGAGATTAGGAGGAAACTGTAGCTTTAACAAGCTCAACAGCTTGAGCAGTGAAGTTCACATTATTTCATTCAGTTGATATATAGCCTATTACAAAATATATTAACAGTTGATGGACCCCATTGACTTCCATTGTATTTATTTTATTTTTCACATTACATAGAAGTCAATGGGGCCCATCAACTGTTTGGTTACTGGTTACTCATATTCTTCAAAATGTATTATTTTGTGTTCAACAGAAGAAATACATTCATACATACAGGTTTGGAACAACTCAAGGGTGAATAAATGATGACAGAATTATCCCTTTAACTATGAGGAAGTACTAGTGTCCTTGAAAATTAACCAGATACATTTTTTTTGTGATCTCCAAATATTCACAAATTTACCTTTTCCTTTTCAAGTTCTTTATACATCAGTCTAATAAAAAGTAGGCTATATGCAACTTTTGTCAAAACTTCATTTGGGTCAAAACTGTTTCACATTATGGAAATAAAACAACTATGATCAATCGTAATTAGTGAAAATAGGTAGGCTATGCAGTCATAAATAATTGTGACACATTGTATTATTGATGTTATGCTTATTGCACTCTTGATTTAGATAATAATGTTGTTGTTTGTTTTTTTTACATTTAGGCTAATACTTAATGTTTTTTTATGTCATAAAATTAAAAGTCTTAGGGTATTATACTTTTTCAATGGATTTGGTTTTAGGACAGAGCATGAAAATCTTCACGTTTATTTGAAATTGTCTTGTCGTTTGACATGATTCAAGTGAAAAAGCTAAAATGCTGATGATGAAAACAGAAAAATAAAACATTTCCACAATGAAAAACATTATGCGTATTTCATGTACATTAAATGATATTACATTAGGGATGTCTCCACTACCCAAGAAAACAAAAACAAATCTATGCTTGACAAGCGAGATTTCTTTTGTACAATTCTGTACGACAATAAATAATTTTCAAGTTCTAACTAGTGAGATTCTAAGTAATTGGAGACAGAACATGTTTCGAACTCCACGTTGTATAAACCGTTGAGAATTTTTGTCCAGAAAAAGCAGCAGTCTTCCCCGGACCAATATGGCGGACTCTTTCGGTGTCAACCGCATGCATCCGGTGTCATTCTCTAGTTCCGCCTACTAACGTCACCTAAGCCAATCACCTAAGAGTAAAGGACGAGCGCCATGTAAATAAATTAATATTCATATGCCATTCCTTTGTAATAGTAGGATTGGTTATATCGCCAGCCACCCGGAAATCAAATTTAGAAATGTTTATGTCGGAGGTTTTGGCTTAAATCCAGAGGTTTGGCTTTGCCTGTGATGATCAGGCATGGAGTCCGAGCGCACATCGGCTTATGGCGTGTGTATAAACATTTTGTTTCTCTTGCTGTTCTTACTACTTGTATGAAAAACGTGTACGAAAGCAGGTTCACGAGAGCAGTTGAAATGCAGCTGTTCCTTTATTAAATGTCCTTGATAATGACAGATTGCTGACTTATTATAAATTATTTAAGTAATACACGTGTTTTTCTGTGCTTTTGGTTGGCTGTTTGTTCCATGGCATGTAGTATAATAATAATACAAATAATATACTCTTTTTATAGAAGTTAAGCCTACTTTCAGTGTCTCTTTGGTCTCTATTTATAATGACTGCTATTCGTGTCACCAATGTTTTGATAATGGCGCTATTCTCTAGGTCGTTTAGCTGGTGACACAGGAGCCTTTTACATTTTTTGTGTGGAATAAAGAGTCATTATTGGGCCCTAATACAGTTCATACATTAACACTTTGACATGCATGACTTCAAAGTAACAATTAATGCTAGCAAAGCAGCTTTCAGTGTATGTATGCTATGACCATTACAACGCACAACCTAACCTGTATGTGTCTCTCTTGTTTTGGTGACTAGAATAACACAAATGCTGATTTTACACAAAGCACTGATGATGACCCTCTCATTGATGGACCACTTGTATCCCAAGATGCACTTGAGTCAGTAATCAAGAGAGAGTTTCAGAAGTTACCCACTCATTGGGCATTCAGTGTCCTCTCGTTTTTTCATGTGAGTAGAAACAGACCATTCCACTCAGAAAAGTTACTTAAAGTATGGCAAATTTGTTATTTAGTCACCTTCATGTTGTTCCAGACTTAATAGAAAATTTTACTTTCAGTTATAATAATAAACCTCTTGCAGACACGCTCGCTATGTACTTTTGAGTCATTTCTCTATTTGTGTTTTGCAGGTGGTTTATGTGGCATTGTGTATTGCAGTCACAATATTTTGCTGGATATCTGATGAGCACACTCCTGAGTGTACTGCAGCATTGCAGGGGATTGACTCCAAGACTGTGGTGTTGTTGGGGAAAGTTGCACTCTGGGTGATGGTCTTTATATTTGACAGATTTGTCCAGCGTCAACATAGCGCTGTGAGACGAAGAGGTTACATGGAATTCTACAGGTTGACCCGAGGAATAAAAAACCTTCCTCTGCTCATTCACTCTGCAGGTAAAAAGATATTTCACACCATTTTAATGTCACGTTTCCGACTTTGCCACTTTATAAAAGGGAATCTCCATAAATAACTAATGCAAATATCAGTGTTATAGTTCACAAAAGACCACTAGATGGCAGCACATAAGCTATCAACATTGATTGTGGAATGTTTGGATCAGGGGTTCTCAACTTTTTTTCAAAGCTCACCTGCCTATATCTTTCATGTAATCCTGAAGACATTGATTAGCTTGTTTGGGTGTGTCATCATCCTAAAACTGAAATTAATTTGATGTAGTTGCTTTTATTTATTATCCTTAATACAATCTAAATCCTGGTCTATTGTTTTTGTCAATATTCTAACATTTACTCAGCTTTTATTTAGCAAGGAATCATTAAAGTGATTAAATGTGACAGTAAAGACTTTTAAAATGTTAGATTTTTTTTAAATGTATAAATTATGTTCTTATAAACTTTTTATTGATCAAAGTATTCAGATTTTTTTTTTAATTTTCCCAAAAATATGACAAAATATATTAAGCAGCACAACTGTTTATAACATTAATAATAATACATATTTCTTGAGCAGCAAATCAGCATATTAGAATGATTTGTGAAGAATCATGTGACACTGAAGAGCTGGAGTAATGATGCTGAAAAGTTAGCTTTTCCATCACTAGGGCTGTCAAACGATTAATTGCGATTAATCGCATCCAAAATAAAAGTTTGTGTTTACATAATATATGTGGGTGCACTGTGTATAATTATTTTATATATATATAAATACACACACATGCATGTATATTTAAGAAAAAAAAATATTTATATATAAAATATTTATATTTAATATAAATTATAGATAAATATATATACAGTATATACATGAAAATATTTCTTAAATATATACAAGCATGTGTGTGTATTTATATATATATAATAATTATACACAGTGCACTCACATATATTATGTAAACACAAACTTTTATTTTGGATGCGATTAATCGCGATTAATCGCTTGACGGTCCTAGCCATCACAGAAAACAGTTTATTTGAATTGTAATAAAATCTCACAACATTGCTATATTTTTTTCTCAAATAACTACAGCTTTTGTGAGCATAAAAGACGTCTTTTCAAAAATTTAGATATAAAAAAATCCCCAACTTTTTAACAGTAGTGTATGTTTTGGGCAAATAGTTATGAATCATACCAAATGAATCCAATTTATTTGAACTGATTCACTTTTTTATGCAGTGTATTATCTACTTAGTTATGAAATATTTACACTCCTAACCAGTGATCAACAGTTTTTTTTAAATGGCTATAAATACAGATATTCGTGTCTGATATAATGCAGAACTTGTCTCTTCTCTTATGTAGGTAATGCATTGATCCTGACTGTAATTGCTCCATCCTCTCTGCTGGATGCAAGGGTGAAGAATCTGTCTGTATATCTCCTCTTGTCCATCATCTGTCTGGAACTACTGCTGTCAGTTATATGCTTGATTATATATACAGGTACTCCCACACACAATTTCTTCATTTATTCTAATACAGAATCATACCCTTCTCTATTTTTCTCACACATACTGTCCATAATAGATGTTTCGCTACACCTACCTGCCAATAGCAATACGTATGGCTATAAAACTGTATTATAGCCTTGCACTATTTGCACTTGCACTATAAACTTGCACTATTTGTTATCCTTCTGACAGTAGAATTATGGCGTTTTAGTTTCTCTGTAGAAAACATTGGTCATTGTGTAGCTCACATCATCATATATTAGCTATTTTCTGCACTGCTACCGCTCACAGAAAAAAATACACTTGTTTTGGTGGCTAATTGCGAGTATTAGTTGCCACAAGGACTGTACATGCTCACCTCCCCCAGCATGCATTACAATACCCAAGCTTCTGTCCTCCTTATCTCCTTTAGAAACACACCAGGCAGCTGTTGTCCCTCTCAGCCTCTTTTTCCTCGCATTTTGTGCTCCTTATGATTAAATAACTCTTTGCTCAACTGTGGAAAGGGATGGAGAAGATGGGGGGATATTTGAGAGAATGTCAAAGAGAAAGACCATATGTGGGGGGAAAGGCTTGTTATGGACACACAGCTCATCTTTGCCAAAGGCAACCTGAATCCACCCCACCCTAATACACCATGGCATTGTCTTTACTGTTGACACACACACACACTTACACACATTCTCGTATCAGTGCCTGGATTCCAGAGATGATTAGTGAAGTGAAGCTTGACCACATGTTATCTATAGGGACACACCCTCACTCGCTCACTTCAGTCTCAATGAGGTCTATCAGTAGATATCACCTTGTGTCTCATATATCACTCTGTGAAGTATTCATGTGGCGAGGAAAATCTTTTAGATGTGTTTTATTTTGTATTTGTATGCTTATACACTACTTTTCAATAGTTTGAGGTCCGTTAAAAAAAGCATCACATTGGTCAATAGTGACATGGAAAGATATTGATATTGACACAAAGGATTTCTGTTTTAAATTAGTGCGGTGGTTTTGAACTTTTTATTCATCAAATAAAACATTTTTCATAGTTTCCACAAAAATATTAAGCTGCACAACTATTTTCAATATTGATAGTACAATAATAAGTAATAAATGCTTCTTAAGCATCAAATCAACATATAAGAATATTTTTTTTTGTTGGAGCTTGTGACACTGAAGATGCTAAAATTTAGCTTTGCCATCACAGGAATAAATTGCATTTTAAGTTATTTTACAGTTTTTTTGAATTGTAATAATAATCACAATAATATCAAATAAATGTAGTCAAGGGGTGTAACGATACCCTCGTGTCACGATTCGATACATACCGCGATGAACTCACGATACAATATTATTGCGATACTCCAAGACAAAAGGAGTATAATAAAAGGTCAACAAAAACATACTGTTGATTAAAATGCTAAATTTGATATTACATTGTGGGTTTAAATGAATAGGCTTGGACTTGGTGCTTGTAAGTTAACCCAATGAATAAAAATATTCATGATTCTGAAGCTGAAAATACAATTTTCAAATAATTTTAGACAAATATGCTTGCACTGACTAGATATATTTAAAATACATGTCAGGTAACAGAAGACATTTGGACCCACAAATATTCCCCCATTGCATTATTATACATTATAATCAACTTTATATAAATATATATATATATAAATATATATATATATATATATAGTAGTTTAATGTAGTGCTGACACTAAAACTCTGAAAACATGAATTTTTTCTAACAGTAATTTTTATTTTGGGGGAAATATCCACGATACATATTGTCACTATCCACGATACGTATTGTTGCATTTTGTATTGCGATATATTGTGGCACAATATATTGTTACACCCCTAAGTCTTGGTGAGTATAAGTGGTTCAAAAACATTACTAAACCCAATTTTTTTGTGTTTATAGGTTCAGTGAGGTTCAAACATCTTTGACTAAACATCTGTAAATAACGATTTCACAATGTGTTATGTATTTATTTTATGTTTTTCAAATTCTGATGTAAAATTGATATTAAATATTTAGGATTCTGCGCCTTTATTTCTATTTCTGCTTCGATTGAAGCACAGCATGCTCTTTGGATGCTCATTTTAAAACCTTGTGGATAAAATAACATGGATCACACAAACTGTGGTTCTGCATTATATCAATATAATTTAAAAAAAAACGGTATATATATATAAAGTTTAAAAAGAAAAGAGAAGTGGCTGTAGACATTACATGTATGTAGCTAGATTGACAAATTTGTGAAACTTGAGCACTTGAGATGATTCCAAAAATAAATAACCCTAGTCTGGATCAAAAACCGATTATTTTCTTTACATTTATTGTGCTAACTAGTGATCTCTATCCATTTAACCACCGTTTATCTCCTCCTATCCATATATCCATCTCTCTGTCCCTTTCCTAAAGGAAGGTGCAGTTAGGTCAGAGTCATGCTCCAGGGTCTTTGAAGTGTCCTCTGTGATGTTGTATCTCTGCCTCTCTCTCTTCATTTGAACATGAATGCAGCGTTCTGTATGGGCCGTATGCCGCCTCTGCACTTCAAAGGAAGTTTAGGGCCCTTCAAAGGGGGCGAGGGAGGTGATTGGGACCGGCATTGTTTTACCGCGATGCACGGAGAACATGCGCTCGGCCCCCGTCATGTTCAAATGCGCTCAAAGATGCCATTGGAATGAAAGTCATATGACGCTTATTGATTTAAAGTTGACCAGGCTCTTGAATGAAATGCTTCTCAGTTCTAAGAGCATGTGTATGTCGCACAAAAGTGCTAACATTGTTCTATGGATTGGACTTCTATGCTACATTGTGCTAGAATGCAAATGTCACGAATGATTTGACCGCTAGGTTTGGTTTATTGTAATGGTGTTTATTTTTACGGTGTCTTTTGAGGAGGGAAGCACTACTGTTTAGCAAAGATATAAGGAATGTGACACGTATATCAGAAAGACTGTCACTCTTTCTCTTTAAAAACATTCTTTAAAGGCTATTCTTGATATATGGTGACAGATCTGACAAATGACCCTAATAACCTTTCAACAATACATATCTAAACTCGCATACACACTGTATTATGTCTGTATAATACTGTATTATTTGTATGTCTCAAATAAATGCTTAAGCTCCATTTACTATCATATATTACACTTATATGACACTTCAGAGCAGGAGAAAAGGTGTGCATTATCTCTAAAGAGGGAATCCCTGATCTCCTTCCTGCCCAAATCAATGGCCTGTTGGCCCCCATTTCCTGCAGGTGATTGAAGAAAGAGCAGTTTTATCTGATTGGTGTGTTTGTGATGGGTTGGCCAGGTGTGGGTCAGGAACAACGCGGAGGTTTGTGTGTATGTGTGTGTTAATGTTTTAGGTGATTATGGTGTAATTAGAGTGTATTCAGAGACCCTGAGATATTTTGTAGATTATATTTAGAGAGATATGTTTGATCCTATAGCACTACCTTTAAGATGTATTAGCATTAGAGGATAAGTATGTTATTATGTCAATATTAAAATGCAGAGACAAATATCACAAAGTATCATTAACATCTCAAACATTGCTCTGTCTGACATCATGTCAAAGTTATCACAGTACCTGTTTTGACTGACCAGGGGCGAACTGGCATTGGTATGTGAAAACTTCAGTAGAAAATGGTTTTCCGGGGATGTCCACAACATGGCCAAGACAGCTAAATAATAATTCCACCCGGAAACAAACCTTTATCATGTTGTGCATCACTGCAAATAATACAGTTACACTACCATTCAAGTTTGGGACCGTGACATTTTTGAAAATGTTGAAAGAAGTCTATTTCAGCTCACCAAGACGTATTTAATCAAAACAATACCGTAAAAACGGTAATATTGTAAAGTATTATTACAATTTAACTGTTTTATATTTTAAAATGTAATTTATTCATTAATGTGATGGAGAAATCATTGTAATATGCTTATTATTATGTATTGTAATACGATTTGGTGCTCAAAAACATTTCTACTCTTTCTTCTTCTGCATAATATTGTTGAGTAAAGCATGATATTTCCCCCCAGAATTCTTTAATGTATTGAACGTTTAAAAGTAGTACTACTTATTTGAAATAGACATCGTCAGACAAATTTTGCTTCAATAGTCTCGTCGTTTGAGCAATTTATTACAATGGATGCTTATAAAAGTATTAATTTCAGTTAAAAATATTGCTGAAACCCTACGTTTCAATAATTATGTAGTTCCAAGCTATCGAAATAATTGTCTAAATAATAAAAAATGTACAGTTTTTCCCTTTGTCCCAGTCTGCCCTCTTTTGTCATCATGCACATATTGTGAACTCTAGAATATTTGGTTCGTATTCTGACCGAATCTGCTTGAACTCACTGTAGGAAGTGAAAGTTTGTTGATTGAGAGATACATTAAAGGTGTGAGAGAGGAGGGAAGTGACGTGTGAAATCTCACAGTTGCCCTGTGTTCTCACGCTCTCAAAACACACACTAGCCACGCGTCTACTAGCACACCTTGTGGTGAAGAGTATCCGTGCTGAACGTGACTCCTGCTCACACACACACACTGTACGCGTGTCTTCACACACCTACAGTAGCTCACACTACAGCTATCAACATTTCTGTCTGGCTCAATTTTACTTGTCTCATTTTGGTAATGGTAAATACTCTCCCTGTTTATCATGTTAAAGGAGTAGCCATTCTGGTCTTCGAAGTTTGGACCCTGCTGTATATTTAGTGTTATTGGAAGGAAAGAAGAATGAGAGGGGGGTGGAGATAAACTTACCTGTGTTATTTATTTATTTTATTTTTTTTGTACATTTATCTCTTTGTATTTTGTGTGTTTCAGTACATGTGAGGAAATTTAATAGCAAGAAGGCCCATCCTGATGTGACTGAACAGGAGCGATCTCATGGCTGCTCCAGCGAAGTGCATAACGAGACAGGCTTCAGGTAGCACACATTGGTGATAGACCTATATATATATATATATATATATATATATATATATGTATATCTTAAAATGGTCCAATATAAGCTGATTAATGTCTATTCAATACATACATATATATATATATATATGTATTGATATATGTATGTATATACATATATATATATATATATATATATATAGCTTATATTGGACCATTTTAAGAAGTCGTTTAGCTGAATTATTCATTTAAATAACCAACAGCCTTTCTAAGTAGATAATGTGAGTTTTTGTCAAAAAAAATTTTGTGTAAATATTGAGTAAACAAGTAATTGATTTCAGCATTTGCATCTCCATATTGCGCATAGAAAACCGCATATTGGTCGACCAGTAATACACATAAAAAATTATACTTGGTAAATGATCAAAGATTTTTTTTTTTTTTTTTTAAAGAATATCGTTTTATAAATTTAACTTTTTAATTAAATCGGTCTAGTAAAATATCAGTAACACTGATAGCTATTTATATAATTTGTTTATTATAAAATTCATAATTTGGGATCAGAGAGATGTATATATTTAAAATTCGGCAAGGGCACATTAGATGCAAAAACTTTAGGTTCCAGAATTTTAGGTTCACGTGACTCAAAAAAAAAGCCTATAGGCAGATATTTGTTATAAACTTAATTTTGATTAATTTTAGACTTCATATTTAATGTCATTTTGCATATCCAGTTAATGCATCATTATTTAAAGGTAGGACAGGCATTTTTGAGATAGGCTTCCTATAGCGAGCTAGCCCCCCTCCCTTCAGAGTGTCTCCAAAGCCACAACTCCTTCAAAGGATGCGCAGAGGAATGAAAATGCATATGCTGACAGGCAGACAGGACATCATCTCATTACATTTGGGCCGATGAAGATTTTATGGTCCTACGATGACATATTTACATATAAATACATTCAGAACACATACCTTAGTGATTGCTATCAGGATGTGAAGAGACTTTCAACCAGCATAACAAAAAAAAAAAAACTGGAACAAATCGCGTACCCTCCCTTTAAGAATCTTTTGACAATTGCACTGGAAAACAATACAAAAATACTGAGGAAAATACACTTTTTTGCAGTGTGATCAGAAGGTATAATAAAAGATATTTCCACGTTCTAGTGTTTAAGAGTATAGCAATTCAAGCTACTTGCTCAAGCTAAGATTAACTAAATCACGGACTAAACAGTAATGAATATCTGTTGTATAATAGAACTAACTGTGTTTCTCCCTGGAGATTTACATTTAGAGAATATACAGTATTTTACTCATTGTGTTCCCTTCAATATACTTTGACTTGGTCTTCAAAAAGTCTTTAAAAGGTGTTAAATGTAATGTACCTTCATAAAACTTGTAGAAACCCTGATTTGTTCAAGTTAACTTGGACTGTAGGCAATAGGCATGTATCGTTTCTTTGTTCCAGTGGTCCGTAGTAAATTAGCTAAACGTTTTTAGTATAAGAAATCTTGTTCACTGCACTTGCACCCGTTTTAAAATGAGAGCAGTTCTTCACAGTAGACGTTTGGCATCTCACAAAATGCAGATTGATCTCTCATACTGAACAGTATAGATATCTCTATTGGGCAAAACAGACCATATTGGGGCATCCCAATATGACTGTGTGACTAGTGTTTTCATAGAAGCACACACACTCACATTTGAAGCCCATGTGCTGTGGACAGGTCAAACAGGTGCACATGTGTTCTGTGGTTTATTTCACAGGGACGGCTCCAGTCTGGAGGATGTGGTGGAAAAGCAGGCGGACCTGATTGATTATCTGAAACAGCACAACAGCGTTCTGAGCAGGAGGATCCTCACGCTGACCGGCCAGTAGATCAGAGCCTGACACGTGCAAACAGAGAGAGTGACTCAGGACTGCTTGTGATGGGGTCTGAAGCGTTGCGTGCGAGTGTGTATGTGTGTGTGTGAGCGTGTCTATCTTGACTGGCATCGGCAGCCATGGCTCACTGATCAGAAGACTTTTTGTGGGAAACGATCCTTGGTAACCTCTCTAACGACGCTCTCGGGTTTCCATGACGACAAGTCTGAGTAGACAATGGCCACAATTGGGAAGTCAAAAGCCCTCTGCTCCAGAAATGTTCAATAAAGATGCTCATGAGTTTTTGGGATAGCGTGATCTTATCAAACCAAAAGCTTTATCGTGCGACTTCCGTTTCTCTGTGTGCATGTTGGTATGTGAGAGCATGAACAAGATGGTTACAGCGGTAGAGTTAATTGTGTACTTAATTTGACTTATTTTGTTCATGATTTCTATTTTTTTGCTTTGTGGGTCTGTGCTGCTTTTATGTGTAATAAATTGTGTTGGAAGGATGTTTCTGGTGGTGTGTAGGAGCCATTCAGAAAACATTAAATACTGACCTTTTTAGTCCTGTTGCTTAATCTCACAGATGGTGTGAACTACTGTCTTTTTATGTAAAATAATGTGGATAAAATGTTTTGAAACTTTTTGGAATAAAGATTAATCTTCAAATGGACTTCTCATCTATTCATTAATGCTGTGTTTTTGGAAATATAAAGTACTTTTGTATCCATATGCCACACAAGTCCTCAACTACACCATTAGAATTAGCATATGAAATGATTATTATTATTATTATTTTTTTTATTATACATTGCATTTATGCTCTAGTACTAGGCCTTCATTTCTCTGTAAAAATTTTCAGATTTATGCCGGATTTTTTTTTTTTTTTTTTTTTTTTTTTTGACACATGAAGAAAATATATTTAGTTTTTTTCACATTTTCCATTCATTTCAATGTGGGGTCATATTGACCCCAAAGTGTAAACATTTTTTTTTTTTTTTACATACCTTCAGAACAACCGAATCAAGCCCAGTTTTTTTTTTTTTTTTTGTGTGTGTATAGATAGAGAATGTATTAAAAGTCACAAAATCTTATTCCACTGAGATGAAAGGAACCTTTTTTTGTTAAGTAAAAGTCGATGATCCGATTAAGGGCTACCAAATTTGATTGAGTCCGGATGTGCATATCTAGATAAAGAAAGGGATAAGATAATCCTAGATAAATGTAGTTTAGAACATGCATCAAGTTCTTGGAAATGCACTCATGTGTTTTTGTTGGTTGCAAATGGATTTGGAGTTTTTTTGTGCCATGTTTAATAAAAGTTTATGTGGTGTGACCTAATTAAAACAAAATGTCTTTACACTGTGAGCATATATGTAAGTGTACACATCTTAATAATTATATTGATTTTTTTTTAGACATTTTATGATGGTTAAAGTAAACTTTTCAATGTAATATCCAGATATTTTGTTACAAGTATTAGTACAAAATTAAAAATCCTTACTCTAATTATGAATCATTTTATCATTTTATTATTTAATCATCTTATAATTTAAAAGACTTTATGACCTTGACATGCAGTCATGAGGGACATGAAACTTGGGATAAGTTTTCAACAAATTGTAACTGAAATCATCTATGGATCCATTAAAAGAGACGAAAATAAATCTCCATCTTGGATTGGGAATGTTAACTTTTCTGATTGGGGGCTTTTCATTTTGGAAGCTGTCAATCAAAAATCGAACAGTACAGTCTAGTGATTTCAGTATAACACTCTTTTTTAGCAGCTTGTGAATTTGAAAGACTTGGACAAGCCGTGTGGATTATAAGACACGTTGAGCCCAGGTGAAAAGACAATACACTTTTTATTTAATCAGGATAATAATAAAACATTTGAAGTGCATAACTTACATATAAACATTTCATTCAGTCCTTACTATTTACAAGGGTTTGGCAAACTCAAACTGATTGAGCGATGAGTTTTAGCGTTTTCTGTTGCAGTGGATCTCCCCATAACTTGTTCACTAACATTCATAAAATAATACACTCCCTCTATACAGGAGTGACTAACATGGCTTGGTTACAATATATAGGCGAATGAACAGCCCTCAGGGAGTCTGATATTAAACTTTTTCCATCCATTGCTGGTCTTTGGGTTTCCCAATGCTTGAAGAAGCATCAGGATAGATGTGTAGAGGTTCCTCTAGAGTTGTAAAACCTGATGGAGAACAAAACAAATAGTTTAAATCCACAATGCATGGCTATGGAATCGGTATTTGATCTTTTAAACATTGTTTTATATATATATATATATATATATTAGGGGTGGAGCCGAATCCGAATACGGTATTCGGAAAGGTACAAATAATGTGTTTTTTACGAATACTTATTCCGAACAAATACTTAAAAAAAAATATTTGTATTCGGGAACAAGAAATACTTTATATCAAAAAGCTGCGTTCCTCACGAGACGCGAGTTGAGTGACTTGAGTCAGTGCGCGAGTTGAGTGAGTGACGTTCAGGAAGAGGTGACTGACAGGCTGCTCCACACAGCAACAGAGAGGGCTCGGCTGAGCGAAAAAAAAAACACTTAACTGCATCACTATTTTTGTTTAATAGATGTTTGTACCTTAACTATGTTCCGGTGGCAGTTTATAACTTTCGGGAAGCGGAGTTTGATCGGGAGTATATTCCATTATTGACGTCTGCAGACGGGTGCTTTCATGTTCGCTCTGTTTACGTAGCTCTGTTAGCTCGGTAACGGTAATTATTTGTTTCATGGCTTGATTGAATTCCAATGTAGAATGCGGTCTGTTATTATAACAGGCCCCTGCTTATAAGTATAACACACCGTTGCTATGAAAAACAGAGCGTTGCCATGGATTCTAAACGTAGAGACAGAACGGACTATTTTTCTTTTTTTAGCGGGAGCGATACAATCGTTTTTTAAATTAATAAACTCCTTTTTATATCCATATTTTGAGTCAAATTATTGATTTATTTGGTAGGTAGCCATGTAATAAGCGGGGTAATGTAGAGCGAGGCGTAGTTATAGCGAAAACCCTTCAGGCTTCGCGTCGGGCTCATAATCAACCTCCTCACTATAAATTATCCATATAACTTATTCTGTCTGCACAGCGTCCTCCACCGTGGTGTTGGGGTTCATAATGTTCACAATTGTATTTTATTAGTTGTTGGTTTAACCATGGTTCATGACTCGGTAATGGCTGACTGTTATTTTCTTTTCAATGACTTTTCTTGTTACATGTTCATTGCTGGATTTATAGAAAAAATCAACCAATATTGCATATCCATAATTATTATAATGGATATAATTAAAGAATCCATACACTATAAAGTATTTTTAAAGATTTTTATGCCTATTTTGAATTTTACTCGAATACAAATACAAATACAAATACTTTTCCTCCCTGAACAAATACAAATACAAATACAAATAGCGGCTGCTTTGCACACCCCTAATATATATATATATATATATATATATATATATATGTATATGTATGTGTGTGTGTGTTTGTCTGTGTGTTTTGTTAACTCCTGACTAGCTCTGGCTCATTGTGTGGGGGTCACAGAGTAAAGGTTAAAGGTGACAACCTCTCCAGAGTGTCTGAAAACAGTAGGCGGCTCCGGTAGGCTGTCACAGTGAATGTGTGTCCCCTCAGATACAGTGTCACACATATCACCATTAACAACATGTGCTCATGGTTCAATGGTCGTGTCAAGATAAAGAAAACTAATGTGCTTTAATATATATATATATATATATATATATATATATATATATATATATGAAGAGTTTAGATGCAAAAGCCTCTAAGTGCCATTTGAAATTTTCTTAGAATGATCATTTTTATCAATCTTGTATATTTAAGTTCAGTAATTTCACTTAAATTGCAATGAGGATGACCTATTAATTGTCATTTAAGTGAAATTACTGAACTTTAATATATAAGCTTGATAAAAATGATCATTTTAGAAGAAAATTTCAAATGCCACTTAGAGGCTTTTGCATCTGAACTCTTCATATAAATATATACACAATGTAATTCATATTATAATACAATACATTGATACAATATAATTTACTAGATAAAAATGTACATTAAAACACACTTGAACTTCTATATTTATTTATGTTGGTTGTAAATGTTTTTGGAAAACCTATGTATGCCATGTTCAACAAATGTTTACATTTAATGCCCTGTGGTCTAAAAAGTCATTTTAAAAACTGTATTATTTTAAGTTTTTTAAACTGTAAAAAAAAATATTTTCAAGATTTATTACAACATTTTTTTCTTTTGTCAAATCAACTTAAATAATTTATTTAGTTCAGGTAACTTATTATTTTGAGTTTCTGGTGATTAAATCAATCTCCTTCATTGTATTAACTCACTTTTTCCAGTTCAATCAACTTAAAATTTTAAGGCAACCAGGTCACGTATTTTTTTTAAGTTAAACCAACAATATTTTTTAAAGTGTATGAAGTTATTTGAAATATTTTATGATGGTGAAAGGTAAAATGATCAATGTAATATCAAGATATTTTGTTACAAGTATTAGAAAGAGTTATAAATAATTGGTTTATTTAAAATTCTAAATTAATTTGAGGGGTCAGGTGATTTTTTTATGAAAGAACCGACTCTAAGTTGCTCTTTAAGTAACAAAAAGGCCTTTAGCAGCCAAAAACTCACACACATGTTGGATAGACATAATGATTTTTATTGTACAAACTGTATTTCTGTCACCTAACCCTAAGCTTATCCATCACTTTTTTTTTTTTTTTTCAGCTGCTTTCCTCAGAATTTCCCAACAAGGCCAGGGATTTCGGAAATTACTGTCTTTGAGGAGACTTTTTTTCCCTATAACCTCACACACAAACTTCATTCACCCTTGTATCACCTTGATGACCTCCTTGGTATGGTGTTTGATATTTGATAATCCTCATTTAGCATTTTCTCTTTGGTCTAACTACTTTAATTCAATTTAATGTTTTATTTTATTTGATGTTTTATTTAACTGGGACAATACAGAATAACATTAGCCTACTTCACAGTACTGAGATTCAGATGTTTAGCATATGCTTCTAACTGATATCTAATTTGCACTAATTGCACTTTTGTCCTTGCTTAGGCTTTCATTAGATTGAAATACAAACAATCTAAAATTCAAAACATTGGAAAAATTATTTAATTAATTAATGATCAAACAAATGATGATCACAAAAACAGTTTAAGCCTGTTTATATATATATATATATATATATATATATATATATATATATATATATATATATATATATTCTGTCTTTTAAATTCTATTGCTAAACCATTACATAACTGTACTCCCTTCACTGAAAAGGCCACCAGGTGTTTCTCAGGACTAGCATTACTAGGCGTCCCACCCAAGTTTTACAGTGTGTGTGGCAGATAGTTAAAATGGGTTGAATTTATGGGGGTAGGGCTTTTCTCGTCTGTCTGTGTGTCTCTGTGGCTATGTAGGTTTCCACTCTTTTGTGTGTGTGTGTGTGTGTATGTGTGGGTGGGTGTGGAGTGTTTGTGTTTACTCCCGGTCCGAGAGAAAGTCACACAGCTATAAAGATCCAATAATGTCCCAGCTCATTTAGTACAGGGTATTTAACCCAAAGTGCCT